AAACATTGATTTGGATTTGATCAAATAAATCATTCTTTGATTTGAATTTGATCAAATCAAATATTCAAATATTAAATTGAATTGCAGAACCCTATGCATATGTGCACATTATACACATAGATTTTACATACTGATCCAGATTTAACATTAATTCAAAAAAGTTTTTTTAGTATTTCCTATCTTTCTATTGAAAAACTCCTATATTGCTACTAACAGATTAATTTAAAGAATAAAGAAAACATAGATTATATTTATTATTTGCATATGAAATTTAATATCTTTAATTATAATTATAAAATATAACTTTGAAATATGTTTATATAAAAAATAATTCTACATAATCATTATACAAACCTTTTATTTATTATCCTTTTTTTTGATTAGTATTTAATAGACATGTAGCATATTTATATCTTATATTATTACATAAATTACATTTATTTTGAATTTATCTATCAATAATATTATTTGAATTAGATGAAATCTTCAAAGATTCTTTATATCTGCTAGATGATTAATTATAGGATTACTAACATTTTCTGATCTAATTCTGATGGAATATTCAAATTTTCATATTATTCTACTAATTCCATAATTTTATATATTTTATTAGAAATGTATTATTGAAGTAATGAAATAAATAATTTATCACAGGTTTTATAAGCAATTTTATTAACTTGTTTAACTAACACTTATATATTAGAATAATATAAGTATTATTTGCTAAATATAATATAATTATTGCTATTAGAGATAAAATTATTAACTAAATTCAAAAAATCAAGATTATTGTTTTATAAAGGTAGGCTTATTAGATCATCATTAAATTTTGATGCAGGATATTCTTAATATTTGGATGAATAGAAATATACATCTCGAATTAAGAAAGCCTATATGAATTGAGCTTGTAATATGCATAATAATAATATACTAAAATAATGTTTATAAATAATATCATATGTTCTAAAAGATAAGCACAAATATTTATATATTTTATCATTTAGCAAAATAATTAAATAATTTATTCTAACTAGTTTTAAATAATTAATGTCCTAAAGAATACTTATAGATGATTATGTATAGTTTGCTAAAATTCTTATGAATGTAATTTATTAAATTTTCTGATTTTTAATGAAATTATCAGCAAATATCTAATTCAAAATATACAAATACATTACATTAATAAATCTTGTTTTTATATATTAAATCAATATTATTGAATATAAATATTTTACCTGAAACTGTTTACTATTAATATAGAATTGATCTAATTGATCTAATATTTTTTACATCATAATTAAAAGCTAATTCCATTTTTTGATGAATCTTTTGGATAGATAAAAAAAACAAAAGAAACAAAAGCTTTAAATTCATCAATTACTTTACTAAAACTACTTAAAATAATAGTTGCAAGCTGAGTATATGAAAAATTATTTTACCTATTTGTATAATTTCATTATCCTATTCTTCTTCTGTTTTTCACTAACTGCAAAAAATATTATAAATGAACTATTTGAATTATATAAAAGATTTAAAAGTAGAATTAACTAATTTATAATAAGATATTATTTATATATCTATAGTAAATATATTAATACTAAATACATAAGCTTAAGAAGTTTTGAATAGATAAAGCACTTTTAAGATAAATTTGATATTTAATAAGTAAATCTGACTAGTATTATTCAAATATTTCCTGATTTAAACTGTTATGACATTTATAAAACTCTTATTCAAATAGTTTATATAATTCACTAAAATTACATTTGAAATTTAAAGTAACTTTTGATTAATATCATATAGGTTGATTTAAGAAATTAGGTTTTTATATTCAAAAGACCAAGTTTATTAAACAAATACAAATTACAAGTCATATAAAAATAATAGATCTATATTAACTGACATAAATAAAATGGATTTAGCTACACTAAACTACACTAAATTACTGGATTTTTTTATATATATTAAAATTATATATAAATTACAATTTTAGTTATCAATTAAATATAATTTTTGTGTAATAAATAACCAACAATAAAAATTATGCCAAAATAATTCGCGGATTTTATATTTATTATAAAATAAAATTTATATTTTAATAGACTAATATTTAGTGTGTCCGCCTTTAGCCTTAATTACCGCATTAACACGATTAGATAAGCTTAAAATTAAGTGATGTACCATCTCTATGCTAATTTTTCTCCATTCCTCTTGAACTATATTTATTAATTCCTGTTTACATTTAGGTAAAGGCTTTCTTTTTCTAACTTGCCAATCTAAATGATTCTATATGTTCTTGATCGGGTTAAAATCAGGGCTTTGTGTCACCCAATCTAAGATTGGAATATTATGTGTTTTCATCCACTAAATGCTATAATTTGATATATGACATGAAGCTCTGTCTTGCTGAAAAATAGAGTTAGGATAGTTACTAACCCATAGTATTAAGTGGTTAGCAAGAATATTGATATATGCATCAGAATTCATACTTCCTTCTACTATAACCAAAGGTCTAACTCCATGCCAACCAAAACAACCCCAAAACATCACTGAACCACCACCAAATTTAACTGTAGGTAAGATACAATTTTTATTATAAGCTTCTCCAGGACTTCTCCAAGCTCTTATTCTTTCATCTGATTCAAAAAAAGCAAATCTGGACTCATCAGACCATATTATCTTTTTCCATTCATCACCCCAGTTTTGTTTCTCTCTACTCCATTTTAACCTATCCTTTTGCTATTTTTGGGTTAAAAGGGATTTTTTACGAGCGACATAACTACTAAGGCCTTCATTATGAAGGTATTTTCTAATAGTATTATTATGCAATGTGGTATCAAGACTAGAGTTTAATCTGCTTGTTATATTACTAAGAGAAGTGAACTGATTATTTCGAACGATACGTTGTAGGGTCCGTTTATCACGTTGATTAAGTATTTTAGGATGACCAGGATGCTTCTCAGGTATTACAGAACCTGTTTCTTTGTATATTTTTTATAGTATTGTTAACAGTACTAGTGGGAATACTAAGCTGAGTTAAAATAACCGGTTGCTTGGTACCACTCAGATATGCACTGATAATTCTTTCACATTGAGCTTCGGACAGCTCGTTTCCACGCATTTCTATTTTGAAGAAGATAAAGAATATGTATGTATTACTTTTTTTATTATTTTTATATACATTAGGGAGAAATTGCGAATTTATTATAGACGCAATAAATCACGTGATTATAAATCCGGTAATTTAATGTAGGTTAGTGTATATCTTAAAAAAAAAATAAACAAAAATCAATAAAATCTTGTGATAAAAAAAAATCTCGTGATATTATTAAAAATAAATAATAATATGATTAATAATATGATAATCTACATCTATATTTGAAAAAATCACATGACATAACATAATTTATTTACGGTATATATTATAATAGTCAAATTATATTTTTACTACAAATATCGCATATCTCTATTAAATAAAAAGAGGGAAAGTATAAATTTATTTTTTACAATTTTAAAATTTATTTTTATTTTATATTAATTTTTATTAAAATGTCTTCAGAAAATTTTTTTTATAATAATCATTTTAATAAAAAAAGCAAAATTTTTTTTTTCAAGTCATGGATATCATCTATATATTTTGCAATATTAGAATCTTTTTTTAGTGATACTGTAACAAATGCTACTAATTAATATAGAACAGAACTTACAATATCTATAAGTTTGTGTCAGAAAGAAGCTGAAAAAATAAAATTAAATAAAGTATTTAAAATATTTGAAGATATGAGTTTAATAAGTAAATATATTTATTAATTTTGTCTTTATTAAATAAAATGATGTTTCCCAATATTTCAATTGTATAATGATATT